CCTCCTTTTTGACCCAGGCGTGGGCGGGTCGCCTCCGCCCTTCTTGAGCGCCTCGACTTCCTTCTTCAAGATCTCAAGTGCGTGATCTTGACTCTCGATGATTTGAAGCAACTCCTCCTTTGTGAGTTGGGCGCCCTTTGTCTGTGGGCTCTCCTCGACTCTCGGACTCCCCCTTACGTCATGTTATTCCGCTTCCTTGGTACCTTCCGTCCCGTTCTCTTGCGGTTCAGCGCAGCCTTCCTTCTCGCCTGACCCAAGAACCTCCATGCTTCTCGTCGGTTATATTCCCCTTCCTGGCGCGCCAATTGTTTATGCCTAGAAGCCTTCAACTTTACGCTCTGCGCCCCAACCTTCAACACGCTTCTCGTCATACGCCTGCCTGCACACACAAGCACCTAGCGGACCGGGCAGGTCCGTTAGACTCCGACGCCCAAGTGAGAACCGTCCCTTTTTAGAGAGAGAAGTAGAGAACAGTTCTAGTAAGAGAAGCAAAAACTAAGTAAATAAGGTTTACCTACTTCACTATTTATACACGGGGCGAGATCGACCGGTATCCGTCGCTCTCGCCCTGTGTCAGGTCCGCCATAAATGCGTCGTACAACCCTTGCGCATGCGCCTCGACCACCTGACACTTCAGTAAGAGGTTTGAGGCGCATGACATCATGTGATCAGTTTTCGTACACTTCCGACCGTTGGTGTCTTTTGTCCCATGCGCCTCTCGCCAGGTGTCCGGTCCCACCTGTCTCACGCGTTACCCTGGCCGTTTGGGCCCTTCTCCACGTGCCTTTCAGCCCAAGGTCCTTGCCCCCATGGACTTCTTTAGGTTTCTCCGGTTGGGCACACGTCTGTGCCCATTTAACAAACTTCTTTTGGCCTTCCCTTTTGGGTTGGCCTCTGGCCCATACTTATTCCCCCAACAAATAACTGTATAATTCTTTTCATAGAATTGAGGAGCTCCATCAATTGTTGCTTCATTTGGGTATATAATACCTGTATAATTGCTAGCCATTTTTAAGGTAAGTTTGAGACTTCAATGGGGTAACAACAGAGCTCTACATATGAAGCTTCTCTTGAGCACTTTTACTATGCTATTAAGCATTGGTGCTTTAATGTATAATTTTTTTTCCGTTGAATCAGTTACCCTTTCATTAAGTAAAGAATTGCAAATAAGCAATCCAAAACCGAAACAACGAAATGGGTCACCATTATGGCCCCCCAAAGAAGAAAATGGATTAATGTACAATTTAAAGATGTATCATAACATTAAATATATAAGTTCAGACTGTACCATAAAGGAATTAGGAAAAAATCCAAAAGTACCACTGTTTAAAAAAAAAATTCCAAAAATACCACCCAACCCCAAAAAATTCCAAAAATACCACCCTTTTTCAAAAACCGCCACCCCACCCAGCGGTTTGGTCGAAAACCGCTTGTCGGGGGCGCGGTTTTGGACCAAACCGCGGGCCTAGGGGGGCGGTTATAAAAAAAAAAAATTTGGACCAAACCGCTGGGTGGGGTGGCGGTTTGGCCCAAAACCGCCACCCCAACCAGCGGTTTGGTCCAAAAAAATTTTTTTTCCGACCAACTCCCAACTTCGGTCGAAACTTCAAACAAACGTAACTTTGCACTCGGGTAACCGATCGTAGCGATTGTTTTTTTCATTTCGCATAAATTTTCAAGATCTACAACTTTTACTAGGATGAAATTTTCAAAACAGGAACTAATTGTGGATATACGGGACCTTGAGAATAACTTTACCTTTACTTTTCAGAAATCCATGTACATTTTGAAATTATGATTATCTTAAAAGTTGTAGATCTTGAAAAGTTATGCGGAATCAAATAAAATTCATGACATTCGGATTTTGGAGCACAAAGTTATGGCCGCCCAAAGTTTGACGAAATAAAAAAAAAGGTCGTTCGGGGTGGCAAATGACGTTTTTTCGAGACGAAGACGGGACCCGACTGTTCGAGACTTGCAAGATCTCAAAAAGTTATTCGGATTCAAAAAATGGAGGCCGCAAACTTTTTGAGATCTTGCAAGCCGCAAACCGCCGGGTCTCGCCTTTCGTCAAACTTTGGGCGGCCATAACTTTGTGCTCCAAACTCCGAATGTTATGAACTTTTTTTTGATTCCGCATAACTTTTCAATATCTACAACTTTTAATATAATCATAATTTCAAAATTTACATGGATTTCTGAAAAGTAAAGGTAAAGTTATTCTCAAGGTCTCGTAAATTCACAAATAGTTCCTATTTTGAAAATTTCATCCTAGTAAAAGTTGTAGATCTTGAAAAGTTATGCGAAATGATAAACAAATCGCTACGATCGGATACCCGAGTGCAAAGTTACGTTCGTTTGAAGTTTCGACCGAAGTTGGGAGTTGGTCGAAAAAAAAAAAATTGGACCAAACCGCTGGTTGGGGTGGCGGTTTTGGGCCAAACCGCCACCCCACCCAGCGGTTTGGTCCAATTTTTTTTTTTTTTTATAACCGCCCCCTAGGCCCGCTGTTTTGGACAAGCGGTTTTCGACCAAACCGCTGGGTGGGGTGGCGGTTTTTGAAAAAGGGTGGTATTTTTGGAATTTTGTGGGGTTGGGTGGTATTTTTGGATTTTTTTTTTAAACAGTGGTACTTTTGGATTTTTTTCAAGGAATTATGGTACAACTTGAAGTTGTACCATCACATAAATTATAAGTTCAAATTGTACCATAAAAGAATTTGTTCAAAAGAGTATATGTACAATCTGAAATTGTACTACAACATTAAAGATACAACTTCAAATTATACCATAAAAGAAAAAACTTATACCTCCAATACTATATAATATTATAAAATTTCTCTTCTTTAGTGTCTATATAATAATAAAGTGAACCGCGGCAAAACACGACATCCCAACCTAGTAGATATTAAACCAGAAAAAATATACATGGTCGTAAACCAAAAATCCCAATTCGAAAACGAAGATAAGAGATGATAAAACGCACCCATGCATGCAACTTAAAAGGGTGACACGTAGAGCTGCATTTGCTTGAACGGGGAAGAGGATAAGGACGAAGAAAGTTTCAATTCGTGAACGCTTGTAGTCTCACGAGCCATGACTTGACTTCTTACGATATATATTTTTTTCTCATTGGAGATTCAACTCTTGAAAATCATTGGGGGAAAAGACAAACAAGCAAATAAAATGATAAAGCAGAGGTTTCAAAAGAATTGATTCAGTCCTACTGCTGCCTGCATGCCTTCTCCACACGGTACTGTGTCATAATTTATTTCGCGACCATAACTTTAGTATTAATCCAAGTACCACGCTCATTCAGAAAGAGCAACCCGATTGCGGATAACATGAAAAATCTGGTTTGTTATTAATCATACAGTTGTTCTTAACTGATTTGAAGAGCTATATATATATATATGTATTTTAACTTAAAATTCAAATTTATTTAAAAAGGAAATTAAATTGATTTTCTTCTTCATATTTTTACCCAAAAGATCACTTGTATCAAGCAAGAAAGCTAACTAGATATACAGATATAATTTCCGGCTATAACCAATCCCGGAATTGAAACCCACAACACCCTATAGGAAACAAAGTGATCAACTCTTTTTTAGTCACCATATGGACTACCCCTATTATTTTGTCTGCCTACAAATCGGAAGCTCAACTCTGGAAACAACTCTCGCAAATTCTGAATTTCCTCATAAATACCCCTCCTCTGATATCACGACGCCCCTGCCTGGATTTTAACAATCACCACCTTCGCATGACCTTCAAAGCAGAGATTAAGCAACCACGCCTATGTATACCACCTTACTCAGGGGCGGAGCCATGGGGTATTGGGGGTGTCCCGGAACACCCCTAATTTTTGGGACAACGATTATCCAACCCCCGGTAGTAGTTTTCGTGTGGATAAAAAATATAAGTGGTAAACTAGGTGATTTAAATTAGGATACTAAGATTATTAGTAAACATGTTTTTCATTAGACCACAACTCATTTGTTATTGTATTTTAAACACAAGTTTAATAGTAAAAATGATATTCCTTCTCCCAATTATTTTGAAAATCTAACAATTGAACCTGATTACGGGTTATCCTTATTCCCTCCATTCTATCATATCCATTGGTTTACTTGCTTCTCAAAGTAATTGATTTTTGCCGATTGCAACTGCAGGTGTTGAAATAACATATTTAGTTTTGGGAAACTTTAAGAACAAGTTTCGAAATTGATTAAATGATCAGTTTATGAATGATTGTACAGTAAGATGGAGATATTTGTTGAGCCGTCCAGACACTGAGTATATCTTGTAACACGCCGTAGACTTTAGTTGTAACTTGTATTAGTTAGATATTTTCTAATTTAAAATTGTTTAATTATTTATTTAATTTTTAAAGAGGACACCCCTATATAAATTTCCTGGCTCTGCCACTGACTCCTTTTGAATTTTCGCTTATCACATTTATTTCTTCCAACGAACTAGTTCGACCATTTAAGTAGATGGGGAAGTACGTACATACAGCTACATGCATATACAAAACATTTCGTAAGGCCGGCTCCGGTTACGTCCGTCAAAGATTGTTGATTGAACCGCGTGACTCGAATTTTGGTGGTTTTATTGATCAATTCCACAACGTACTCACAGCCCAATCACATAAGAAAATTTATTATTAAAAATCAACCGTTGGTTCGTGCGACCCTAAAGCAGTCAAACCCCTGACTCGTCCACAAATCACCAACCTCCCTCCCATCTATATAAACAAATACTCTCCCCACGTACTTTTCATCACTAAACCTCATTCCTTCATTCGTTTCGTTGCCAGGGTCGAAAGAAACGCTAAATTCCCAAAAAAAATAAAAACAGTAAAAACTTCTCCATTTTTCTGGTATCCGCTCATCCAAGACACAAAGAGAGCAAAGCAGCAAAGGGCCGTATAATATTCGTCAGTGACGTCCTAGACTATATATATATACTTGAGTTTTTTTGGACGTCTCTCAAAGTAAGATGAGGAGCGTGGTTTTCTCAGTCTTGTTCCTGGCTTTGGCCATTTTCTCGGCTTCCTGTTTCCAGCTAGCTGAAATGAGGCCGCTGAAGGAAGACGGTGATGGTGATAATTATTCATTGCTGTTACAGTCCCTGCAGAAAGGCCCGGTGCAAGGGTCGGGTCCCAATCCATGCACCAACATCCCCGGCCGGAACCAGGGAACCTGCACAAGTGCTGTGAGCGCCATGAACGTCGCCGGCGATGTATTCGCCCGATCGCCGCAGCCGCCTCTTGCAGCTTCTCGTCTCGCCGTTTCTAGTCATCCACAATTTTCTCAGAGTTCTTGACCTTTTTTTTTATGGTTTCATTTTATGAATAGTTGTTGCCCATTATTCATGCTAACAAATCGTGTGAATTTTGTGATTTAATTTATTTATTCCCTTTGATGTAAAAAAATTAAAATTAGATTTTATAGTCGGAGTCAGAGATAATGCTTCATTTTTTTGTCTCTACTACAATTTGTATACATAGACAGAATGGGATTGTTCACAACCTCGCCATTTCATGAAATAAATGCATATATTTCTCCAATATAAGAGAGCTTCCCGTGCTTATTTGGACATTATTGAGTTAGAATGATAATTAAATATGAACCTCATTTTACCTTACATAGATGAAGGATTAATATATTAATTTATGTTCTAGTATATATGTCCCAACTCCCAAGTACAAAAACGGTCAGTCGGATCAGAAGCTTGTCAATTACTAACGCTGCTATGTCGATGCCTGGGGTTTAAGAAACATAACTTGATGGACCAGTTTCAAGGTTTCTATTTTTGAAGGATAGCACAAAAGTGTGCCTCTAGGGGTTACGTACGTGGACAGAGTAAGTGATGAGAACTTGCACTTTAGTACTTTGAATTATTGTCGTTTTATTATTATTCGGATTATTGGGACTATTTGGGAATTGTGGAATAATTGATAAATCAGGTAGCAGTAGGGAATTAGCCATTTTTATATAAACCTCTTCCTCCTCTCCCCAAGGCTGCCGAGCAGTCACTGCCCCCTCCCTCTTCTATTCTCAACTTCCCTCTTTTCCTTCTCTTTTGCAATTCCACTTCCTAGGGTCAAACCTTCATTGACCCCCATTACTTAAATTCCTAGATAGAGCTCGGAACACCGGAGCCAACCCAGGCAGCCACCGCGCCACCCAAAATGGTGCAGTCGAGGCTTCCACCGCCGACGGCGACCGAACCGGGGTGGACCGGGCTGAAGGTGGTCGGACCAAGACAGCGTGGAATGGCGCAGGTCGGATTGAAGTGGGTCGAACCGTGCTCGGGTTGACCGGTTCGGGTCGGCCTGGACATCGACCAAACCCAACTCACCAGCCACCGGGAAGAGCGGACATCAAGGGGTCCGCGTGCTGGAAAAGGCCGTATGGAGCGCCCGAAGTTCCTGGTGGGTACTGGACCAATAGGGCGGCAATCAGGGCCACTACGGGCCTGGAAATCCGAGCCGAGGGCAGGGATTCTCGCACAGGCAGCCATGGAGGACATCGGGTGAGGACATGTATGGTTTGTATTACCATACTTGTGAGGGAACTGATGGCATAGTTTTCCGAGCTAAACCACCTACCGTTGAGTTTCCAAAATTCAATGGGCAAGAGGGCGCAGGTCTCTGGTTGTATGTAGCTTCCTTCTACTTGGAGGGTGAAAATGCGGCACCAGTGGCCAGAGTGAGGCCGCGGGCCATACCAAAAGGGTTCGTGCAATCTCTCCGGCTGAGATCGAGCAAATGAGGCGGGAGGGCAAGTGCTTCAACTGTGATGGCCGGTTCACCATTGGCTATCAGTGCCCGAAGGAGGACCTGATGATGCTCGTCGGACGCCGGGAAGACGAAGCCGAGGATGCCGCTGAGGACATCGGGAATGGCAAAGAGGAGAACCAGTGAGCAGGAGGAACAACCTTAGGGACAAGGTTTCTTTTCGAGGATGATGAGAACTTGCACTTTAGTACTTTGAATTATTGTCATTTTATTATTATTTGGATTATTGGGACTATTCGGGAATTGGGGAATAATTGATAAATCGGATAGCAGTAGGGAATAAGCCATTTTTATATAAACTACTTGTACGTGGGATTAGAGCACTAAGCAAGATTAAACCTAAACAAACCCTAATCTCCCTCTCTCTTCCTCTCTCCCTCGGCCAAACCTCTTCCTTCTCTCCCCAAGGCTGCTGAGCAGCCACCGCCCCCTCCCTCTTCTATTCTCAACTTCCCTCTTTTCCTTCTCTTCTGCAATTCCACTTCGTAGGGTTAAACCTTCATTGACCCCATTTCTCAAATCCCTAGATAGAGCTCGGAACACCAGACTCTATCAGTAAGTGACTAGAACAACTAATGTACATGTACTCAGGTGATTCTTAGTTCAGTTGGTGATCGTAAAACACTTGGTTGTTTCCAAATGTTCCGCAGAATCTGAGTACATGGCTCTAGCATATACAACACAAAGAGCTCCAATTGACAACCTTCCTATTCGAACAACTTTATCTTCAACCAAAACAACCTTACAAAAGTTATTGTAACAGTCTCTTTGGTCAAAATGACAGTAAATGGAATACAACATGCTACAATTAAGTTCATCGAAATCGATTGTGATCTCACTCGTGATAAAGTTCTAGCCAGTGAGCTGGAAGTTTAACATATCTCCGCGACCTTACAAGTACTATATCCTTTTACGAAAATCATTCATGTTCTTACCTTTATTGAGCTCATCCTCCAACTAAACTTGAAATCCATCCATCTGTCTAGTTTGAGAAGGGTATTAGAATAGGGTAAGACTCGTTTTCACTTTTCAGTACTCTATATGTGCCGTAGATATTAGGTACAGTTAATTGTGTAAGAAAGTAGGACCAGCTAGTTGATACTTTTATGATAGATTATGCATTTTTAATGTAAGGTGTGTTTGGATAGAAAGATACTTTTATGATAGATTATGCATTTTTAATGTAAGGTGTGTTTGGATAGAAAGATTTGGTATTTGTATTTAAATTTCTAAATGTCAAATTATTTGTTTCGATATTAATTACATTTGGTATTTGAATTTGTGTCAAATTAATGAGTTGATTTCCAAATAGATGTCTAGTGTATTACTTGTCAACTTCAAATACATTTGATCAACAACTAGTGATTTTAAGTTCCTTCTAACAAAATATTCGACTTGTTTGTAAAATTTTAAAAGTTTAAAATTTTAGGTTATATAGTGTGAGGCAAAATATATAAAGGTATCAATACCATCAAAATTTCAGGACTTTTTGTAAAATTTTAAAAGTTTAGGTATAAAATGTTAAAAAAAATTCAAAATTTAAAATACTAAAAAATTACAAATGATTGTCCAAATAATGAATTTAAATTACATGTATTTTAAATAAATTAAGGGTGTGTTTGGATAGTTGTATTTCGAATGTAAGGTATTTGAAATATATTTAATTAAAATGCATGTATTTGAAATATTAGCATTTGAAATACATGCAATTCAAATTCGTTGTTTGGATAATCATTTGTAATTTGTTTGTACTTCAGATTTTTTATTTGAATTTTCTAGTCATGTACTACAAATTTTGGTATATTTTATTTTGATACCTAAATTTATTCTTTCTTACAATTTAGTACCTAAACTTTTAAAATTTTACAAAAAGGCCCAAAAAATTTGGTGGTGAAATTACATTTTGATACCTTTATATGTTTTGCCTCACACTATAGTACCTAAAGTTTTAAAATTTTACAAACATGTCCAATCTTTTATTAGGAGGAATTTCAAATCACTAATTGTTGATATGTATTTGAATTTGACAAATAATACACTAGACATGTATTTGTAGATCACATCATGAATTTGACAAAAATTCAAATACCAAATGTAATTAATATCCAAACAATTGATTTGACTTTTAGAAATCCAAATCACAAATACCAAATTCAAATCCTTCTATCCAAACACACCCTAAGTTTGAAATAACTTTATGATGTTAGGATATTTCCTCTCTCTCTTGAGTCTTTACTCGTGTGTATATAAATTTATCAGGGAAGTATCGATTAATACAAGACCAGATGAATTTCGTTTCTAGCTAGTAGCGAGATTGCACCACCAGAATGTTGTTGGTTGGTGGAGTGAGTCCAGAACGTCGCTTGACGGGATTGCGATGTTGTTAGGACCAAAACAAAACGTTTGTTGGGGCCACAACACTACACCAAAAATCCGCTTTTCTAAGAGATTATTTTGTTTGAAAATCGTTGATGATAAATTTTTATAATGCATAAATTAAGTAGGTTTAATACACTTGTATGTCCAAAAATTTCACGATTGTGCCAATAATATCCAAATTTTCAGAAATATCACTTATAATCATGTTTTAAAGTTGTACTTTGCCAAATCTGTCCATTTCAGTTAAATACTTTGATGACGTTAATAACTCCGTCAACATAGCTGACGGCAAGCTGACTAGGCACCAACTAAGCAGCCACGTAATCGCCAACTATGTCAAAGGTGACACGTCAGAAATTAAAAATAATTTATAAATAATTTGATGACGTTAATAACTCCGTCAACATAGCTGACGTTAATAATTCCCCCATATACCCAGTCTACTTTCCACGAAGAGCACAACCAGTCCCTTTTTCTGATTTCGTTTTAGGGTTCACACCCTCACGGCGATTGAACCTCCTCCTGCCGACTGAATCTCCTCCCGACGACTCAATCTCCTCCCGGCGATTCAAGCTCCTCCCGCCGACTGAAGATTTTGGATTCGTGGATTCTTCCGATTTGGCGACTCCTGGCGATTGGCGATCGGCGACCCAACTTGCCTTTTGTCCTAGGCAGTTAGCTTCTTTGATGATTCTCGTCTCTGCCGAGGAATTCAATCGACGTCCCGTCATGTCGAAGCGATGTTCTTCTTCAACTTCGACACAGGTCACAGGGTGGTAGTTTGCAAACACCAGTGGCCACAGACGAGGGTGCTCAGAAATTTCCTTTTTCTGTGTGATTAGGGTTTCTTCGAAGCGACCTCCTCTCCTCGCGTTTCGAGGGTTTGATTTTGAGGTCTTCAGCGGAAAGGAAGCTAGTGAGGAATCAGCCTAAGCTCGTCGCGAGTTGTTCAATTCACCGAAATCGATGTTGTCTTCGTCTAGAAAGGTGGGCGAGAAGGGTAAATCGATGACGGGAGGTGAATCGGGACTAGCAGAGGGGGGTAGATCGATGACGGGAGGTGAATCAGGGGATACGACAACTGTCGTCGGAGATCGACCGTCGGCGATGGACGATCTTTCTCCTTAACCTTCATTGCCTTCGTCTTCCTCCTCAGGCGAAGGGTTAGAGGATTCGTCGAGGAAAAAAAGGAGAAGGGTAGAAAGCTAGGTCGAACGAGGGGTGAGGTCAGATGGGGGGTTTGAAATTTTAATTGTTTATTTTCTAAATTAGATTAATCAGCAATCCATGTGGATAATTACAGAGGAATTGGGAAATAAGCGTTCGCCACGTAAGCACCACCGTTTGTCCTGTCAGACTTAACGTTAACAACGTTAAAGAATGTGACAGAATTGACTATAAGTGGTGTTTCTGAAAATTTGGATATTATTGGTACAATCTTGAAAGTTTTGGATATACAAGTGTATTTAACCAATTAATTAAAGGGAAAAATCTAACATGATTGAGAGTCTTCGATTGAGGGCATAGAAGAAAACTTCGGGATTATCAGTTAAATTCCTGTTCCTCGTATAAAACTCACGCACAGCACAGGACCAAACGTTCGAATACCTTGATGAAGAAGTTAATGAATTGGGATGTTAGGACAAGGGTAAGAAAATATCTATAAATAAAAAACTCATGCTTCACAAAGAATCTCAACTTTTTTAAGCTGTGGTTGTTGACCAACGGAAAGAACCGGGGGTTGGTCCGGAAAGAGATGGGAGAGACTGCCTCTTCGCGAGGTATACATTTTAGAAAATTGTAAAAAAATATTTTACCAGAGATGGTTTAACACTTTCAAAATTTGGTTCATTAAATTATATCGTATCGATAGATTCAATCAGAAAATTCATAATCGAAACACAAACTGGAATGAAACAAAACAGTATTCGACAGGTATAAAACAATTAAATCATCGTAATACAAGAAAATATCATATCACATGTCTATCCAATTTGGACATTCGATACAATTTTACAAACACATTTTGAATATTAATTTTGAAGAAACGAACCGGTACATAATTCCTCAATGATATTTGGGATGAGATTTGACAGCCATAAATCATAAGGAACAAATTACCCCTTCTTTCCTGGTGTTTATGATTGGAGAAATTGAAATATGAAGTAATTTGAAAAATTCAAATGTGAAGTGAGCAGACCAATGGGTTTGTTTAAATTAATTTCGTAGGTTGGTTACACACTTACATGATTTTGTTAGGGTCCAGGGGCGCGGGAAATGATGGTCAAACCCAAGCCCACTGACCGAACCGTGTGGTGTTCTATTGATCAATTCCACATCGATTGGGCTTGGACCTGCTGCGTCAAAAGACTTCGACGAATATTATTTGTATTGATCGTGATTTCTGAAGCCATCGATGGCAGTCAAATTCCTCCCCTCCCCCCCCCATCCAATATAAATAAGTAGCAAACTCTTTCATACTTCTCCCATCTGCTAACCTCATTTCTCCATTCATTCCTTAGCAAAGTTGAAACTACCTCTCAAGTTCCTGCTCTCCATTCATTCATCACAACTGTCGTTTTCATATTCAGATACATGCAACGGAAGATGAGCGCCATGTTTTTCTCAGTCTTGCTGGTTTCGGCCATTTTCATGGCTTCTTGTTTGCAACCAGCTGAAATGAGGCCGCTGAAGGAAGAAGGCGGTGCTGATGATAATCATTTATTGCTGTTGCAGTCCCTGCAGAGGGGTCCGGTAAGCGGGTCGGGTCCCAATCCGTGCACCAACATCCCCGGTCGGAACCCGGGATCCTGCACCCGTGCTGTGACTGCGATGAACGTCGCCGGCGGTGTATTCGCCCGCCGGCCTCCTCTTGCAGTTTCTCAACTCGTCGTCGCTTCGACTACAACTACAAGGCAGTCTGGTCGTCGACAGTTTGCTGGGAGTTCTTGACCACTTTTCTTTATTTTTTAGGAGTATTTTATTGACTATTATTCATGCTAACGGTTGGTGTGAATACTGTTTATTTATTTAATTTATTATTTGGTTCGGTTTGTAAAAATCCCAAGCTCACTTTACTTTTGGGTCTCCAAGAAAACCAAATGTATGGTTGGAGCCCAACATTACTGTTTCCATTTTTTCTGACGGATTATACCGTTCGATCATTGTATTAACTATGTAGATATCGATGCTTATATCATCTAATGTTTTTTCGATGCTTACCAATTTATTGTATGCTACTATGATCATCGTTTATAATATCATTGAGATTGTTAAAAACTTATCTTCTTGTGATATCTTTGTTGAGAGATACATAATAAGATTTAACAGGAAATGTAAAGTAATCAAACACAGACACCGGAGTTTACGTGTTATTCCTGGATATCTATAACTAATCCACGGAAGACCTTTGAACGCTCTTCAGGCTACTGATTTATTGAGATGTATATCAAAAAGTGAGTTCTTGTGTTACAGCCGACACTCTCCTCCCTTTATATACTTCAAACAACCCTAGGTTAGACCCTCTTCTCTTCTACGTCCAACCTTGCATGGGCTAACATGAGAACTACGTGTGGGCTTTACTTGAATGGCCCCCACACATTAATCACCACACCTCGAATAAACCATAGCCTAATACATGGGTTCTACTAACATCCTCCCTCAAATCTGTTATGTATTTCTGGTGACTAAGCAGAATTCCTTGGTCATTGCGAGTGACCTCTAGTCCTAGGAAATAAGAGAGAGTGCTGAGATCTTTGATACTGAAGGCTTGCTTAAGCCCGTCTTTAAGATGAGTAATGCCCTTCGAATCAGTGCCTGTAATGACCATGTCATTGACATAAAGTAAGAGAATAACTATGCCAGCTAAAGTTACCTTTGTGAAGAGAGGGAGGGATCATTGAGAGATTGCTGAAATACCGGTTGTGTAATTGTACCCTGGAATTTCTCAAACCAGGCACGAGGTGCCTCTTTGAGACCATAAAGAGAGCGATGCAGTATACAATAATGATCTTCCCATTCAACAGTATAATAAGGCGGACGCTCCATATATATCACTTCATCTAAATCTCCATGCAAAAAAGCATTCTTCACATCAACCTGGTATAGAGGCCAGTTTTGTATGGCTGCCACTACAAGTAAGGTTCGAACTGAAGAATCTTCGCAACAAGAGCAAAAGTATCATTATAATCCACCCCATGCTCCTGTGTATAACCAAGGGCAACCAGTCGTGCCCTGTGTCGTTCGATCGATCCATCCGGAAGTACCTTGATTGCATAGACCCACCTACTGCCAATGGTGGGAGGACATGGATTGGGACGATCGACCACCGTCCATGTACGATTGGCGTCCAAGGCAAAGAACTCACCTTGCATGGCTCGATCCCGAACAGGATTGTTGGGAGCCTGCTTGAAGGTGGTAGGCACGATGAGAGTATCCACACTGTAGGATATGTAGTCTTCTAGACGAGGTGGTGCACACCTTTATTTGTGTGCAATGAGCGTCGAAGAATAGGTGGATCAGTTGGCAGAGAGGGAGCATCCAGGTCGAAGCGGTACTAGTGCCCGAAGTCGAAGACGAGGCAGCGCTGGAGGCGCTATGGGTGGGAGGAGACAGATCGGGCGAGAATCGACTTGGAACAGAGGAGGCATGTAATAGAGCTCGTGTGAGCTCCATGACATGCCTATTATTCTGTTCAACCAGTCCATTCTGCTGAGAGATTCCAGGACAAGACATCTGACTCAAAATACCACGAGAACCGTATACTTCATGCAAAGGAGCCGAGCTAAACTCTCCACCAGGATCAGAATGAATCATTTTAACTGTTTTTCCAAATTGAGTCTTAATCATATTTAAAAATTCAATAGCTACAGAACGAAGATCAGACTTCAACCTGAGAAAATATATCCAGGTGTATCTAGTAGCACGATCGATGAAGAGAGCAAAGTAACGAAAACCAAGGCAAGAAATGGTCGAAGCAGGTCCCCAAAGATCAGTGTGAATAATGTGGAATGCCTCGTTTATGACAGTGGTGCTGGAAGGAAAAGATGTACTAGAAGTTTTTGCCTCAACACAACTGGTAAAAGAATGTTTAGCAGAAATTCTAATAGAATTCTTTTCTAGAAGAGACTGTTTAAACATCATAGGCAGATGCCGTGAGTGTGGATGCCCTAAACGAGGATGCCAAATATCCCACACTTTATTTGGCAAACTAGAAAATACTGGACCAGTAATAGAATGAGTTTTGAAAGACTGAGAAGGACTACTGACAGACATAGCAACACATGAAATTTTGATCGACTGACTCAATGTTGATGACGAGCTCGAACAGCCTTGAAGCTCCTCCAAATGAAAAATCCTTCCCTGCTTATTCCCCCTTCCGATCTGCCTCCCCGTCTTCAAGTCATGTATAACACATCCAGTTGGAGCAAACATAACAGAACAACCTTGTTTAGTGAACTGACCAACATAAACCAAGTTAGGTACCAATGTGAGAACATGAATAGTACTAGGTAAAGAGATGTTATGAGTATCAACTTTTCCCACACCTTTTACTTCCATACGATCTCCATTAGCAACCGTTAAACCAGCATGACTAATTGGTAGAATATTTTGTTGAAATTTTGTATCATTAGTCATATGATTATCACACCATGAATCAAGCAACCGGGGTTTTCCTTTGGTCTTACCTTGTAGTGTAGAGAGGGCCGATCCTATGGCAGTTGGGATAGAGTTTTGTAAGGCTGTTACAGTTTGGACAAGTTGCTCAATTTGAGCAGCAGTTGCATTGGCAGCTGACGTGGCACTAGTCTCTCCCACTTCAACATTATAGGCCGAATGAGAAGGACGACCTTGTGTCCCACGACCAGCACCGGCAAACGAAGGATTCCCAGCAAAGCGTTCTGCATTCCTCTCTCGAGTTTGGCATTCCAAAACAATATGCCTCATTTTCTTGCAATAAACACAATAATTTCTACGGCGATAATGTTTTACCAAGTGACCTTTCTCATGACAATGGTGGCACTCAAGCTCAGAATTGGGAACTCTACTATTAAATCGAGGTAGAGAAATAGCCAAACTTTGTGGATTCAGTCCCATACCTGACCTGTTTGAGGTAGCAGATGCGGCCATAACAATTTCGCCTTCTCTTGGGCGCAACTCAGACAAGACTTCCCATCATCCCATCAAGATGCAGCTTCTCTCGGTTGAGGAGATTTGACCTAACATTTTCAAACTTTGGCCGCAATATCATTAGGAACTGCATCACATGAGACTGCTGCCTTTCATCAATCATATCATCCGACCAGGCTTGAGGACGCAACGCCATGTTTAATATATCTTGCTCAGTCCATAACTCTTCAGCTGCATTAAAACACTTCTTGAAGGAGAAAGAAACTGTGTTCTATGACTATGCCGACATCGATGAGTTGTCTCTCTTGGACTTGACTGACATATATGAGAACTGTGGTGGGAAGATACAAAATCCAAGATTCTATTGGAAAGCTCTCACCAATGAGTCAATGTCAGAGATTTCTAACGATAGTGACTTGCTGGACATGGCTGTAGACAGATTTTGTGCAACAATGGGTGTTGGTTGAAGCCCGAATTTGGTGGTCAACTTCTTTCTACTGTGGGCATCGATGCAAATGAGCAATACTTTCTGGTTGCCTTTGCTCACGTTGAAATGGAGAATAAGGAGAACTGGACTTGATTCCTTGAACTACTGATGTGAGATCTTGACATAGTGGATAATCCCGGCTGGACATTCATGTCAGACAAACAGAAGGTAAAATTTACTCACGTTTTATTTTCTACGTTTTATTTGTACCATGATGCCATTCTAATAGGGTGTTTATTTTTCATAAACATGGTCTTATTCCAGCACTAGACGACACCTTTCCTAACTGTGAGAAGAGGCATTGTGGTGGTCACTTGTACACAAACCTACAAGGTGCATGTGAAGCCTCCCAAATGATGAATGATATGTTTTGGACAGTTGCTAGAGCTACAACCGTGCCTGAATTTCACACTGCCATGCGAGAACTATCAAACTACAGCAAGCCCACCTACGAATGGCTTCTTAACAAGCCATTCTTCAATTGGACAAGGTCTCACTTTCTCACTCTTGTCTCTTCTGATGTGCTTACTAGCAACATGGTTGAAAGTTGGAATGATACCATAATGGATGAGAGGGATAGAGCTCCTATTAGCATGTGGGAGGGTATTAGAATAAAGTTAATGTTGATGTATGCTAAGAGACGAGGCTTTGTGAACAAATGGAGTGGTTCTTTGTTTCCCAATATTGAGCTGAAAATTAAACAATTGAAGAAAGAGGCTCTCAAGTGGATTGCAGTATCAAATGGCAATGGAGAGTTTGAGGTTAGGTGGCACAACAAGCAGCTTGTGGTGAACTTAAAGAAAAAGACTTGCACCTGTAGAACGTGGGAGCTAACTGGCATTCCTTGTGAACATGCTATGCAAGCAATTAGAAAGGCAAATAAGAAACTCCATGACTATGTGGCAGCATGTTACTTGAAGGAAACAACAGCAAAGTTTTATCAATTCTCTATTTCACCTACTGCTGGCAAGGAACATTGGGGTCTTTCTGAATTAGGTGAGGGTGGAGTGCCTGCTCCTATAGAGGGAGACAATAGAGGAAGGCCAAAAAAATCGAGAAGTAAGGAGGCTGAGGAGGCTGCTTAAGGTAAGAAACAAAAGAAGGATGGAAGGGAAGTGTCGAAACAACCTAGGAGACCATACAGGTGTACTACATGTGGGGTGGTTGGTCACAACAAGTCTTTTCATGCCGATCAAGCTTGAAAGGAACAAGCTCGTGCTGCAAAGAGGACAGAAGATGTAATAGAAAAAGAAAGAAAAAGGAAGGAGAGGGAGAAAGAACAAAGGAGGAAGCAACAAGAAAGACCTGAACGTAATCGACTTGCTGCCCTATCGAAGCTGGAACAAAAGAAGAGGAAGCTGGAAATGAGACAAGCACTAAGTCAGCCTCGTACTGTCCAAGTGATGCCTAATGTATGTCTTTGATTTTTTATTTTTGAATTTCATTAAAATAGACAAACGTCCTAATCTCACTCATTTTTCAAGGAACTACCAGGAGGCCATTAGGTGAGGCATCCCAACAAGGAATTCAAGCCACTTAAGGCTCGCAGATAGCAAGCCAATCGACTCAGCTGAGGAATCCTCGAAGCTTAGAAGCATTTAATGTAGGAGTGGTTGTTTAGGTAGTTTGGTTAAATCTACGGCGATGTACACTTTTGGTGAACAAGTAGTTGAGTTATATTAGCCTCATTTTGGTAATCAGTTGCCTATATGGTGAAATGATGCAGTCTTTGATTGATCTTGCAAATCGATGATGACTTGCTCATTTTGTGATCTTTCTAGACTGTTATCTAATCAGATGATGACTATTAAGAATGATAGCAAGCCTTTTGTTCTTTTTCTTCCACCTTTTTATTGCCAAGCAGGTTTATTAACAATGATAATGTTCTTTTCTTTCATGACACAAACACAATTAACATTTTGATTACGATTAATAACAAACACAATAAGCATTTAAATCCAACTACAAAATCTGTGAATACACATTACATCATTCCCCATCAGACCCACCCATTCTTAATTCCCATCAAATTTGACTACAGATTACATTCCCCCATCAGACTCACTAGGGGTGGGCATTCGGTGGGTTCGATTTCGACCGAACCGAAATTATGAATACAGGGTCCCCGGATTCTCCCAAACCTCAAACCGAATTCGAACCGAATTATAATTCGGTTCGGTTAGGTTTTTCACCCAAAACCGAATTTGTTAAAGTACTTGTATCTTCTCACTTTTAAATTATTTTTACCCCTAATATAAACAATAAATATGTAATTATATGCATCATCAATGATAAAATCAAACTTTTCAATACATAAGTCATAAAACATTTCAAATATTTAAGTCCAAAAACAACTACAAACATAAAAATCCACCATTTGGAGCTTGCAATTATAGTATTTCGGTTTTTCGGTCGGAAATTCGGTTCGGTTGAGAGAACCCTGGTTTCCGAACTATCCATATTTTCCGTCCGAATTCTGAATTGAATAGCATTAATTCGGTTTCGGTTCGATTCGGGTTTACCGAACCGGTTGCCCACCCCTAAGACTCACCCATTCTGATTTCCCTTTCCAAAGACAAAAGAAAAGAGCTGTAGAGAAAAGGAAGAGTAGTACTTCTTTGCTACTAAAAGTTGACACCCTCCCTTGCTTCCTATTCTCCAGCTCGTGCAGCCAACGATGGAGGTGGAGAACCAAATACTTCACGTTCTCATAAAGAGTCGGGTCATGCCATCTAAAGTAGTTGCAAGCTCCCGTTCTCTATACATATGCAAAACAAGGAAAAAGGAAATTGAGAAGCCAACGCTTGAATAGAGCAGCAGAAGAAAGAAAAGAAGAAGAAGAAGAAGAAGAAGAAGAAGAAGAAGAAGAAGAAGAAGAAGAAGAAGAGGAGGAGGAGTAGAGGAAGAAGACGGGGAGTTGGTCTTACTCCAAACTTTACGCACCCGTAAAACCTCCTGCCCGGATTTCCATCTGTCCAACTCGTTCTCAGATCGACTGAATCTTCACAATGACAGTAGGGACTGGCCATTTCTCAAGCTCGAAGAAGAAGGTTCTGTCGAAGGGGGCTTTGATTGGGGAAATAAACCATAATATAGATGGAAGAATGGGAGGGAAAACCACTTATTTTTCCCGCCCAAGCCATGTCAGCGATTAGTTGGACTCAAAAACAGCATTCCGTCTTCCAGCTTGGTACCCCCGTTTGCCACGTCAGCATAAGTATAATGGTGTTGACGGAGTGTAATGCTGAGTGACCAATGATAACATAAAGGTGTATTATCGGTGGCTGAATTGAAGCGAAATTGATTCGGGTGGCTAACGTGTTACAAAAGTGTAATATGGGTGACCAAACTTGGAATTCACCCTTATGATGGTAGTTTAGGATTTTCATATCATTTGACATTTTCTAGATGGAAAATGTAACAGAAGAGTATGTTTGGGAGCATGAGTATAGTAAAGGTATAAGTTTGATGTGAAAATAGTAGAGGGCAGGTTTGAGAAAATCATATAGTAGAGGGGCAAATTTTGAAATCAACCATTAAATTTAACATGATTATCTCTTTCGTTTTAAGTAGTAATTTCAGTTTTTTCACAGATAAATCAGATTAATTTTGCTCTTCAAAATGAATTCACTTTGATATATTTGGTACAAAAGAAATTGAGATATTTATTACCAGTCCATACTATGTGGTAATGATTTGTATTACATAAGATTACACCATTTTGTATGGAAGTGTATCATGACGGTATGAACGGAGTAAAAAATGTAGAATGATTGCATACATTATAATATGAATATACTAACCGTCATTTACCGCCTTTCATCACCATATACCACTAGTTACCATCATATACTAGGTTGATATTTTTGGTCCTTAAACTTTCTCACAGAAATTTGTTGATTTAATAGATTACGACGCACATGTTTTTCTGGACAAAATTTCTCAAAATTCGAGTAAAAAACGAAAGTGGTACCAAGTGATATCTAGCGGTATTAGGGTGGTACGAAATTTTTTACTCAAAATATATTAAAAATGAATATTATTTTGTAAATCACAACGAAATCAATCTTTTTGAAATCCCAATTAAAGCAAATAAAACAAAATCAAATTAAAAAAAAGAAAAAATAATAATTTTCATCTTTTAGATCTGCCCCACTTAAAATTAAAGGTACAAATCTAGCTATGCATTTATGTATGATAAGGAGTTATGCACCACCTATCTGACCTCATCAGAGAGGTACGTAGTCGATTAAACCACTTTATCTTTAATCTCTTCACGATTAATACACGAATGAATTTCGTTTCTAGTTTGTAGCATAGCAAGATTGCACCACCAGAACGTTGTTAATTAGGACCACAAGAAAATGTCGTTGGTCACAACTGACAACTCTATGCCAAGAATCCGCTTTTTGAAGAGATTATTTTGTATGAAAATCGTTGATGATAAATTTTTATAATGCTTAAATCAAATAAAGGGAAAAGTCAAACATGATTGAGAGTCTTCGATTGTGGGCATAGACGAAAAGTGTAGAATTATCAGTTAAATTCCTTGCAAAAATTCCATGCACATGGTGATCAAGTACCCTGATGAAGAAGTTAATGAATTGGGATGTTACGTCTAGGGCAAGAAAATATGTCGAACAAACTCTTGCTTCACAAAGAATCGCGAGTTTTGGAGAACGGCGAGTAATATTTTATTCAGAATGGTTTAGTTTGTTTGAAGCATTGTTTATAAATTCTAATATACCGAACGTTCGACCAGAGAAATTGACTATCAAAATTCAAATTAGTATGGTACATGATTGTTCCGTATGACTTCCAATACTATTTGCTAACATTATTTTTCAAGAAGTTAACCAGCCAGCCTATAAATTCATCTATGATATTTGGGTTGAGAGCACTCCTAAAACATAAGAAACAAGTTACACTTTCCCGGTGTTTATGATTTGAGAAATTAAAATATGAAGTAATGTGAAAATCCAAATGTAAAGTGAGCAGACCAATTATGGGTGGGTTTAAATTAAGTTGGTAGGTAGGTTACATGATTTGGTTAGGGTCCAGGGCGCGGGAAATTAAGGTCAAACCCAATCTCTATTGATCCATTCCACATCGATTCGGGTTGGACCTGCTGCGTCAAAAGACTTCCCTAAACGAGAAGAATATTATTTTATATTGATCGTTGATTTCTGAAGCCATCGATCGCAGTCAAATTCCCCCCATCTCCATCCAATATAGATAAGTAGCTAACTCTTTCATACTTCTCCCATCTACTAACCTCATTCCTTAACGAAGCTGAAAGGACTTCTCGATTTCCTGCTCTCCGTGCATACCAAATATACATCAAGCCATCAACTAGACTCCGTCCGTGGTTTTCACGTTTCAGATACATGGGTTTTGCGTCTCAAAGGAAGATGGCGGCCGTGGTTTTCTCAGTCTGGTTGGTTTTGGCCATTTTTTCGGCTTCTTGTTTCCAAGTGGCTGAAATGAGGCCGCTGAAGGAAGACGGAGGTGATGGTGATAATCACTTATTATTTCTCTTGCAGTCCCTGCAGCGTGGTGCCGTACGAGGGTCGGGTCCCAATCCCTGCACCAACATCCCCGGCCGGAACCGGGGATCCTGCACCCGTGCTGTGACTGCGATGAATGTCGTCGGCGATGTATTCGGCCGCCGGTCTCTTACAACAGCAACAAGACAGTCGGGTCGTTGACAATTTTCCTCGAGTTCATCATTACTTTTTTTTCTATTTTTTTTTTTTTTGGGACTAGTTCTTGTCCTTGACTAGTATTCATCCTAACGGTCGGTGTGAATTCTTGTGGTTTAATTTATTATTAATTGGTTCGGTTTTATGTACAAATTTCGAGCTCACTTTACTTTTGGGTCTCCAAAAAAAGCAAAATGTATGGTTGGAGGCTCAACATTAATGTTTCACTTTTTTCTCTCCATCTGTAATGGATTTTATAATATAGAGATCGATAATTATATCATGTTGATGTTCACAATTTGATCATTTTTAATAAATAGTTATGATTTCTCTAGTATAAGGGACTCTGTGCACACTGATTTGAATCATCGGTAATACATTACCAACAATGGCCTCAAAAGGTTAAAAGTTCCAAAGAAATGAGACCTAATAACAATCCAAAAATGTCAAAGAGCGAAAACTTAAGAAATCTGGTGTCAAATTTTGCCCGATTACAGAAAAAAAATAAATAAATACCCCCACATCTCCGTTAAAACGACATGCCAAATGGGAAGACCGTGTGTGCTCCTCATGCAACGCTTTTTGTGAGCCTATAATGATTGATATTATTTTGGTAAAAATGGAATTTTAATTATTAAATGTACAAATCTCATGTTTAAGTGTGCATATTAACAGCCATTCAAGGGTTCACCTTGAAAGTCAATATTTTGGAGGGCCATTTAATGAACAAAAGGATACTTTGATGGTTGAGAAAGTAGAAGGTTATTTTAGGATTAATTGATGTGTTTTCGTTATTGATGATGTCATACTCAACGTCAATCTTTTTGTTAAAATTAAAAAAATACACCAAATTGTTCTGTCTTAATGAATTATTACTACCTATATAAAACTAATGAACAAATTATTATCTAATTAAGATGGTAAAAGTTATTGTTTTGTAAATTTGAAATTCTAGCACTTCCTAACAAAACTACTTTTGGTGGTACTAGAGTGCCAAATCTAGTCTCATTTTTTAGTATTTTGGCACTCCTTAATGTAGATGGTCTAAATATAACCTCACTTTATCGTAAATAGATAAGAGAGGGTTTGGTAACAAAAGAAGAAACATATAATGATAAAGAAGGTAATTCGTATGCAACCGAATTCCCGATGAAAGAGCATGTTATGCCACAAGGTGGGCAGCTCTAAGAAGAAACATATATGAACCTCACTTTATGAAATAATGCTCATTTGTTAAAATTTTCATCCGAACACTATCAACTACAGTCGAACCGTTGTTTGGGTGACACAAGTGTCTATAATACCCCTAATAATTTCACTTTAATATTTTCTTAGTTTCTATTGTATAACCTAAAAACCCCTAATGATTGTACTTTAATGAAACTTAGAGAAATAATTTGAGGGGTAAAAATGAAAATTTCCTCCCATTTTCTCGATATCGGGTCACCCGAACCACGGTTCGATCATGGTTGACGATTTTTGGAAGTAAATCTTAACAAAAGAATATGTTTAATAAATTTTATAAAGCACAGGGCTATGTTTAAAGTACAATATAGTATTACCTATAACCTAAAATAAATAAATAAAATCATCAAAACGAAAAAAATCATATTGACTAGAACTAGTGTTAGCACCATTCTAACGAATTTGACGTTAACACTCTAACCTTGCCCATAACATTACATTAAATAATAGTATGGATTATTTTATAATGACCCTCGTTGAATTCATGGCAGCACAGCCTGAAACCTTCAATGTCATGATTTACCTAGCACGGTTCATACGTTGTCATTTCCTTTTTTTCTTGATTTGGGGTCCAAGTAACCAAAATGAAACTGCTTAACAATGAAACTATGAAATTAAAGGTAACAAAATGTCAACGGGGCGCGGAAGATGGAGGTCATAGCCAAGCTGCCGGTATAATATTGAACCGTGTGACTTTTGGCGGCTTTATTGATCAATTCCACCAAATTTGGGCCTCTATGTACGAATGTGCTTCGTCAAACCGATCAAAGGCGAAAATCATTATTGAATTAAAATTAAATTAAATTAACAGAGCAGTCAAATTCCTAATCCCCTACTAGTCCACACATGACCAACGTCGTATCCTGACTTCCATTCCATTTCTTCAAAATACTCTCTCTTCCTCCCCACGCCACTCGTTACAAATATAAATGCTCTCTTCCTAACAACTTTTCATCACTAACCTCATTCCTTCATTCGTTAATTACCACGCAAACTAACCTCTGCCGCAGATAAACTCAAACTCAGCTACGTACGCTCCTGCCATCAACAAGACGCCGGCCGGAATCGTTTCGCGTTTCAGTTCCGTGTGTGATCAAGATGATGAAGCCCGTGGTTTTCTGGATCTTGTTGGCTTTGGCCATTTTCTTGGCTTCCTGTTTCCAGCCAGCTGAGATGAGACCGCTCAAGGAAGAGGAGGGTGGTAGTAGTGCGAATCATTTATTCCTTCTCCACTCCCTGCAGAAGGGATCGGGTCAAGGGTCGGGTCCAAATCCCTGCACCAACGTCCCCGGTCGGAGCCCCGGAACTTGCACACGTGCTGTGAGCGCGATGAACGTTGCCGGCGATGTGTTCGCCAGCCGCCGGCCGCCTCACCATCGGCCTCTTGCGGTTTCACGTCTCGCCGTCGCTGAAGTGACCGGTCGTCGGCAGGGTTCTCAGAGTTCTTGAGTACTTATGTTGATGTGAAAAGTTGATTGTTTCGGTGTCGTGTGAAAGCTGAAAAGTTTAAAGGCAAACTTTTTTTTTTTTTTTACAGTTTGGTGTCTCCATGAGAAACGAATTGTTGAGTTGGAGCCCACTTAACATAGTTTCATTTTTTTGTTTCCTCCTTTTTTCCTGTGCTTTTTTTAACAAGCACATGATCGCATACCACTTTGTGTTAATGAAATGGATCATTGAATTGTACACATGGTTGTTTAAAATCTGGTTATTCTATTGTGAACTTAAGCTTACCACTTGCTCGACTGTTATAGTTGTGGAGTAATAGGGGGTCGGAGTAAGAACTGTATCCTTTCGGCAGCTAAATCAAAAAGAATCTCAGCGTGACAGCATAAGGGTTGTCAAATCGGTTTTATTCGTTGGGGGCGGTAAAAGAAATGGTTTGAGATTCATTTGGTTGGATCGAGATTTGATTGGTTCAAGTCCTTCTTTACATAGTATAGAAATATATGCATATATATGGTAATTTATTTAAGATTTTAATAAACTAAATATAATTTGATGGGTACGTATCATACAATAATTTAACAATTAATATATTACTAGATAATTGGCAACGTTTCGCGGCAATTTACATAAATAAAAGTTAAATTGATGTTATTAGAGAACGAAACAAATTTTTCAAGAATCGTTAACCTTTTGGATAAAAATATAGTTTTCGATTGGATAAATTTTTTTCAAACTTCTGAATACACATTACAAAATCTATAAAGATAATCCCTATTGGACCGAAGATAATAATGATTTTTATAAGGATAATATAATATTATTATGATCAAAAGAGAAGGACAAAACAAAGAACACTACAACAAGTTCAAAACAAGAATACAAGCAGTGGCGGATACATGGTGCTTTAGGGGTGTCCCGGGAAACCCCTAAATTTTGGGAATACGATTATTCAACCCCCGGTAGTAGTTTCGTATGGATAAAGAAAATATAATTAGTAATCTGGGACACCCCTAAAATTTTAATAAATGATTATCTTACTCTCGATAGTAGTTTGCGTGATTAAAAAAATATAAGTGGTGCTCTGTGTTATTCAAATCTAGGACACTCCTATTATTTAACATCTTCTCCATTAGGTTATAACTCATTTGTTGTTCTATTTTAAACACTATGCAATGGTGAAAACGCGATTTCTTATCCCCAGGGGTACCCTAATTTGAATTAATTTTATGGTTACACTGCAAGTGTTGAAATAGTCTTTTTAACTTTGAATTACATCATGAACAAGGTTAGAAATTGAATATGCAATCTAGTAGGATATACCGATTTGTTGAGCAGTGTACACACCAAATCTATCTTATATTTTTTTTTAAATATGAAAACACATCGTGGCTTTTTGTCAACATTTATACTAATAGTATATTTTATTATTTATGTATTATTTAATTTAATTATTAATTTAATTAATTTTTTGAAAGAGGACACCCCTACAAAAAATTTCTGGATCCGCCACTGAATACAAGCGCCCAGACGTGAGGAAGATTTCATGGTTTCAGTTCAAGAGTTTCGTGCCATCCTCAAATTAAAACAACCTGAAAGTGAATCAAAAAGGGGAAGCCCAAAATGCTTTGCTCTTAGTTCTTGTTGTACACATTCTCCACATTCTCGGCAGACGAGGACTCAGCAACAACCACCTCATCTTCATCCCTTCCAAGCTTCCATAATTGTAGGAGTTCTTAAAGTTGTACAGCCCACACATCCGAAACAAAGAGCGCTTCAAGCTATATTGGTCATATTGGGTATTAGTCTGGACCTCATATTTCCAAGCCAATCAACCGCGACAGCATAATTCACCTTCTTTGCATATATTAGCCATGAATAAATTGCCTTGCCGACCTTAGATGCTACCACCCGAACAAGGGTCCTGTCATCATTGAAAATCCATGCATTCCGATCAAGCCGAATATTCTAGCAGTAGGCATGAAGAAGTATTCTTGTACACTATTGATTGGGATTCTCCGGTTTGGAGCAAGGCCAAACCCTTATCGTGTTAGCAATGTCCATCAGGTTTATTTCTACCATTTCCTATGTCCACAAAGCAACCAACAATGCACTAGACTTCCATAGAGAATACACAGTTGATGAAGATGTGGTCAATGGTTTCCTCATCGATCACATATTTCACATCTATTTGGAAGACACCATCCTTTCTTCTTAAGATCCATGGGAAGACATATATTTTACTCAGAATGATTTGCTGCCAAACTATCTTGAAAAGAAAAATGCAAATTGATCCACAGAGAGATTTTCACTTGCAAATTTATCATAAGCTGATTTGACGTTGGATCTTGTGCAGAGGCTGGAAGATTCAGTGACATGATTTCATCTTATTCTTTCTGCACCTACAAAGAGATTGGCAAAATACATCTGTATAGCCATAAGTTTCACGTTTGTGACAAATATAGCCATAACTATCGGAAAACACAAAATAGCCCGAAAATTAGAAGGTGGTGTGACAAATCTAGCCAAATCCGTTAGAAACTTTAATGACACTTGAGATGCCGTCAAATTTTGTGATGGAATGCTGACAATGATCGAAATTATCGTCCATGTAAACTACAAATTAACACGTCATCAATTAATTAAAAATAAAAACAAATCTTTATTTATCCTTCTTATTCCTGTCGACCGTCGTGCTTCCTCTATCCTGCCTCCTCCAAAACTCAATTAGGGTTCCGATAGAAACATTAAATCGGTGGCACTGCGTATCACATTGTCGGCGTTCCTCACCACTTAGTTTTCTCGAACTTCCTTTTTCTCATCTTTGCAAATTAGAATCCCTAAAATATTACCCAGAATTGAACTTCAGTGGAGGCAGCGGACGATGTGGGGGGAGTTCTCGATTTGATCGAGGACTCGCTTCTCGTTCTTGGGAGAGGAAAAGGCTATCGTATGCATATCGGATGGGGCGGAGGAAGTGTGATATCAGAAGGCGAAGGGATGATGGCAGAGCGCTCTAGTCTTCACATAGGTCTGCTGCGGCGGCGATTGAAATCCGAATCGGTAGAGCGCTCTCCTTTATGGCTTGCTGCTTCGATGCGGATGACGATTGCAAACCCAAAGGTCCACCACCGCCCACTCTGTTGAATCTGTTAGAGTGGTCGTTGACCGGCCGAACTAGAATCGCCACAGCAGATTGGAGACTTAAGACGAGAAGAGGGATTTTCACTCTTCCTCCGCCCAGATCTCGCCGCTATAATATTTGGATCTTGCCATCTCTTAATTTATCCGCCAATAGGTGATAGTCATGGAGGGGAGACCACCGCCATCAACTTCGGACTGCCTCGCCAACATAAGATCAGATGATTTTGCGAACCGGGTTTTGGTGGTTGTGGGCGATGCTTCTCGCTTCCCCAATCTCGTCGAAGATCCGGGCATGCTCCAGCGACTCTGCGAAGTGGATTAAGTGCCCAGCATAATAGTAGTTATGGTCTATCACGGGTTTGTAATATGGAAAACAGACGAATTTCATTAGATATTCTGTTTTTTCTGTTAACAATAAGAAGTTCCATGGGTTTGTGTGTGTCATTATTACCCAAGAAGGCCAAGGATGAAGATTCGGATGAAAACGAGGAAGGTGATCTTTGACTGCTCTTTCCTGCAGGAGAAGAAAAAAAGAAGGAATTAAGCCTATGTTTTAGTTTCTTCACGAACCATGAAAGCTCGTGATGCATAGTTGGTGTATGAAGATGTAAAGGAATTTTTTTTTTGTTTTGATAAGATAGCGGAGAAGAAATTAGGGGAAGAAGAAGAAATGAATTTGTTCAATCTCTTCTCTGCTAGCTTTATGGTTTTTTATATTTTTTTTGTGTGTTAATCCATGTCAATTGGTGGGGACAATAAATCGCCTACTCAGCATTTTCCGTCAGTCCAGTCATACCATTAACTAACACAGTTAACGGATTGGACGGAAGTGGTTATTTTGTGTTTTCTGATAGTTATGGCTATATTTTTCATAAACGTGAAAGTTATGGCTCTACAAGTGAATTTTGCCAAAGAGATTTGACAAAGACAAGCTCTCTAATAAGTTCATTAGTGCAATTCTCTACCTCTCAGCCGCTCCCATAAGATTAAACTTCAACAGTAAAACCTATGAAACTCTCTCCCCTTCATCAATTGTAAGGATAACATTAACTCTGGATATAGCAAATTCAGCAGGTACAATCCTTGGAAAGTCATCAGCAAGGCATTGGCCATCAATCCAGACGTCAAACCACACAAAGTCCAAGCCCCTCCACCTTGTTCTACTTGTGCCAACTTCCTGAAGATGTTTTTAACCTTTGATATCTGACTCTAAGGGCTACATCTCACGAGACCAACAACGTCGCCTAACATCCATTCCGACCTCCAGCAAGGAAACTTTAACTATAATAACTCTCTCCACCACGCGTACCTCTCCGTAGCAACTTTCCACTACCACTCACATAGGAATGCAAAATTATGGAGTTCAATGACATGAATTCCCCCCCCCCCCCCAAGTTTTTCCCTATTTTACATATTTTTTTAGGAAATGAAGTGTAGTTTCTTTTTTTCCTGTGTAACATACCATATAAACTCCCCTTGGAATTCCTACATATTTGAATTAATGATTTAGGGGTCTTGAAAATGGAGTTGAGGTACAAAAATTGGTTGTCTAATACTGCTTTATTTAATATGATCATTCCTCCAATAGACAGAAGGTTACCTTTCCAGCACTCCAGCCTCTGCTGGACTTAATGATGACAAAATTCGAGAAATAAGGAGAATCAGTAGGCTCCCCAAGAGGAAGATCCAAGTAGGTTATTGGTAAATGTTCCCCATCACATCCCAGTATTTCAACCAGTCTTGCCAAATTATGCACTCTTCCAACCGGGTGTACTTTAGTCTTTCTTAAGTTCACCTTCAGTCCAGTTATGCTTTGCGAGCAAACTCATGCAGCCAGGACGTTGAAAGCTTATTCTTTG